GGTCAGACTAGATTGCTACAGTTGCCCCTGAGGCCTGGGGAAACCAAAAGAGCATGTCCACCAGGCACAGAGGGAAAGAAAGGGGGGAGGGTGTTGAAGTGTAAGGGCAAAGGCTTCCTACACCACACCTGCTCCCAGCAAAAATTCTCAGCAGGGAAAGGGAGGGAAGCACAGCACTGAACCTGACAGGCAGTATGTTGGCCTGGGAGTGAGAGGTGCCTAGCAGAAATAGGACATACTGCTTTCTAAAGAGGGTAGAAGAGAGCCCAGTATATGCCAGATCACTTTCTACCTGGGTTTGCGGTGTAGAAAACAAGATAATATATGCTCCTCTTCCTCTAAAACATTAGGAGGATGTTGAGGGTTTCTAGGGTCCTCTTCAAGAAGTCCAAGATGATTTTGAACTTGAGAGACTAAGTAGTGTGGATAAGCCACCTCCTCAGGAAAATCAGGAAATCCTTGAGGGGTCAGAGGTACCTGATCTGAAAGATGTTAATCTTCCTCCTTAATGTACTCAAACTAGATTTGATCAAATTTAATGACTGAAGGAGGCTGTAATTGCTTCTTCACTACAGAGATCTTGAATGAAGAGTGGCTGTGGGTTTTATGGAGTAGGGATTCATACCCTAGGTAAATCAGTGTAACCAGTTGGTAAGCAAACTTGGATATTAGCACAGAGGAAGATACCACAATGGACATGCCTATGAAATACTTGGGTCCTTTATGCACTCGACTGTACACTTCAACAGGGAGTGCAGAGAACAATCATTGGGCTACCCATACTGGAAAGTGGCACAGGAGGAGAGGAGACCTCCACACATTCTAGTGAAGATGAAAAGGAGTGAGTCTTCTCCTAACAAGGGGAGCCTACCTGCTCAAGATATGGGCCTGCATAGTACCAGATAGAGTGGAACTGAGGTAGGTTACTTTGATGTGATATATTTCAGAAGTGACTCCAATAACAGTCTGACATAGTTTAGGCAGTACCAGGAAGTGTGTCAGTACCAAGACCTTTGACACAAACATCCAATACCAGATCATGGGTTAGCACTATTTGGTACTGGAAGCAAGATGGTAGCTCCCAAGAGTCTTTGTGCAAGGTTGATGCCTGAGGGCAGTGCAATCTTTACAGACCATAGAAACTATTAATGCCAGATTACGCTTTGGTGCCATAGCATGAGGCAAAGGCACCAGACTTCAGATATTAGTGGAAGAAGCCTACGAATTTCTAGGTCACTTACTAAGGATCAGAGTGTGAACTTCTGACTGGAGTGATGCTCCTTTGTCCTCCAAGGAGACTCACAGTTGCCAAGTAAGTTTGTGGGAGGAGGCTGCTCATGACAGGGAGGTGGAACTTCAATTAATCAGTGCTGAGTCAGGATAGGGTTGATTTTTTTTTCTGGGCTTCCTAGAAATGGGAGGTCATTGCCTAGATCTCTCAAGAAAGCATAACTTCAACCTCACCTCTATTTTTCTTGCAAAATGGGTGGGATGCAAGTGCTCTGTTAATGTGTTCCTACCCCAAGTAGCTGATATATTTGGAAAGCATATCATTAATGGCTTTAGCTGATTATATGATGGGCTGGTCTTGAAACTATGTGATCAGATATGCAATAATGGAATAGTCTCCTAAAATATCAGGAGAGGCATCTGAATACAGATACCCCCCTAACCTTTCTCAAACAATGGCCAGCAGACAAAGAAAAACTACTAATGTTAATAAAACTAGAACAAAGTTCACCAAGTGAAATTACAACACAAAAAATCCATGCTGGATAAAAACATAGTGTGCAGTGGTTTACTGATGTCAGAAGCAGTTTGATTTTTCAGAAAGTATTTTAACAGAGTTAACTAATTTTAAAAAATACTTAAGTTTCCGTAGACCCAGATTTACAGGCCAATTACTAGTTATTCTAATAGGAGATATACAAACTTCAAATATTTTAATTTTTTCCATTTATTTAAACTACTAATTTCTTGATGGACTCAAAAGTATTTTGAAAAAACCTAATTGGGCCAACATCTCCTCTGTGCTTCCTGGGCACTATTGGAGGAGCACTGAGCACTCAAGGAGTTTCCTCTTATTTCTAATACCTAGCAATGAAGCTGCTACCATCAACCTGGAGGAGTAACTCAGGCTACATCTACACTACATGCTTCTTGCACAAGAGTTTGTGCAAAAACTTCTTGCGCAAGAGCACATCCACACCTCAAAACACATCGCAAAAGCGATGTGCTTTTGTGCATGAGAGCATCCACATTGCATGGATGCACTTGTGCAAGAAAGCTCTGATGGCCGTTCTGAGAATGACCATCAGAGCACCTGTGCTTTTTCTCATTGTTCCTCTGGAACATCCACACTTGCCTTTTTGTGCAACAACTCTTGCGTAAAAGGGAGTTAAGCCTTGTAAAAGGTGGTTTATCTATGGTGGAAAAAGCCCTCTGTTCTGCTGTTTTACTCTTGATTTCCTTGTGCAAAAGTGCATTTGAGGTGTGGACACTCCATGGGTTTTTGCGCAAAAACCTTGCAGTATAGATGTAGCCTCAGGGAACGTTCTACTTGGCCTACATCTGTACTACAGCCTTGCTTGATGCTCTGAGATTGATCCAGTGGCAGTCAATTCAGCATTTCTGCTTAAGATGAGAAGAGTAAGGAAAGTTGATGGGAGAATTTCTCTTGTTGATGTCCCAGTGTAGAGCTTGCCGTAACTCAACTTAAGCTACGCCTACACTGCATCATTTTTGCAGAAGAGGAAATGCGAATGACGCGCTCATTAGCATTTCTCACTCATTTGCATAGTCTCTTCCAATCCTTTTTACAGAAGAAGTTTTTGCAGAAAAACCAGTCTAGACAGGGCCGTTATTCACAAAAAACCCTTTTGGTGCAAGATCCTGTAAAGGAGAGGTTAATCACCTCTGCAGTAACTGGAGTTCTTCAAGATGGTTGTCCCCGTGGGTGCTCCACCTTATATGCTTCAGTGCTGCTGAGCCCAGGACGGAGAACTTTTACAGCAGTACCCCTGGCCAGCCTCGCACACAGGAAGCCAGTGTGCGTATTATGCAGGCTACTGTGCATGAACGACCGGCCCCTCCCCCCGCACCTCAGTTCCTTCTCTACCACCACGGGCTCTGGTCACAGCTTCAGCAGTCTCCCTCACATACCCTTATCTTATCTGTAAATAGTTACCTTAGCAATTAGTCATTTAAGTTGAGTTACTAGCTAATTGTTAACACTGTCATAGTTTAGCGAGGAAAAAAAGTGGAGGTCTGAGGAAGAAGTGGCTGCCAACCACTTCCTACAACAAAGCTTCCATCCTAGGATTTCTGCAGGATATGCCCAGCTCCAAGCGCTGCACAGGTTGTAAAGCAGCCATATTTGTCTCTAACAGATACAAGTCCCTCCGCTTTCTAGGGCAGCACCATTCTACTGAAAGCTGCCCCTCACTGTCAGAAACTGACAAACCACTGCAAGAGCCAGAGCTCCAGATAAAAATCCTCGCCACGGAGAATGGGAGCTCTCCCTGAAGCAAGACAGGGCAAGATCCTGTAAATCTAATTTTTTGAGGAATAAGGGATCTTGTGCAAACAGTTTTTTTTATTAAACAAAAAATAGCCCTGTCTACACTGCGTTTTTTCCCTTTTTGCGTCTCTTCTGCAAAAAGGAACAGAATAGATTATGCAAATGATAGCATGATAAATGCTAATGAGAGCTTCATTTGCATTTCCTCTTTTGCAGTGTAGATGTAGTTTTAAGGTATGTTGACTAACTGTGTCATTCACATTGTTGGAGTTCCGTAGCTTGTCAACTTTATGTTGTAGTGTAGATGTAGTCTTAGTCCCTGCATGGTCAGTGCTGGAATATGCTTTTGTGTGAATGGGATCTTCAGAGAATTTGTCTGCCAAATTCTAAAAAGCCTCCACTGACCATATGCCAAGTACAAGTTTCAGGGCCTTAAAAACTTCAGCCAAAATTGGGAATATTTTCATGGAGAAAGCAAAATGCACATCTTGGGCTTCAGTAGGAATCCAGAGGACACTACTCCAAAGCATCAAGCAGCTAGAGCATCTCAGTGATATCGTTATAAGAATTATTTCTCTGAACTTTTTCTCAGAAGCTGAGAATGCATTTTAATTAAAACAATTAAATCTGAAGTAGACACTCAAGGCATGAGAAATTTTAGCTGAAAAAGTTTAGCAAAGTCAAACAGATAATGGAACTCTTTTAGTTCAGAGCAGGTTTTTTTCCCCATCATGAAAAACTGAAAAGGAAACTAAGGAGCTAGGAGTGACACTAAATTTTATTAACAAAATTATAGGAACTGCAACAGTGAGAGATTTAAATAGCTTCAATTCAATTAGATGTAAATCATGAGTTCAGAGAAATCTTGAGTTGCTGCAAACTGAGAAGTGGTTTTTAAGGTAATAAGATGGGCAAAGCAAATTTTTCAAGCGGTGAAAATTCAATTCAAAAGCTGAGTGAAAGTTTAAAAAAAAGTACAATATGGCAGAAGAGATGTGAGGGAACCAAGCTGCAAACATTAAAGGAATGTTTAATTCGAGTGAAAGTTTTAAAAAAAGTACAATATGGCAGAAGTGATGTGAGGGAACCATGCTGCAAACATTAAAGGAATGTTTAATTTAAAATTAAAAGCAAGTTGAGAATTGTTTTTAATAGAAGTTTTCATTTTAGGGAATTTTGATTTTTTTGGAAAACAAAAGGCTACTCAACTAATGAGGCCATTTTTTTCAAGCAACTCTGCAGTACAATTGTTACCAGGACTTGAAACCATTAACATTTAAAGAAACTGTTTCATATGATATTTCTCATTTAAAGTTTTAAATGACACAGTGTAGATTTGTGCTCCACATACCAGAAGCAATAAAATAAGATTCAATTTCTCAACTTAAGCATCAAATATTACGTTTACACAATACCTGAACAGTGACAAGCACAAAAACAGACTAATTCCACACTTAAATAATTTCAAAAATTCATACCAACACTTTTAAAATCTATTTTATTTAGTCCCTCCCAACCCAATACAGGACTTAAGGCGTCTTCACACAAACAGTTCTTGCAGAGTTGTTTTTTTTTTTAAATAACTATGTTGGTCAGGTATCATTTATTCTGATATAATCCCTAAAACTGTGTCAGCATTGAGATATGACAGTCAAACCAGTGTAAAATCAATACAGTATTTACAAAGCACAGCACATTATGCATAAGACATTCACTTGAGGGATAAAACCACATTTTAGAACAGACAAAAACCTCCGTTATTACAGGTTTGGAATCAACTATTTACAGGTCCCTAATATCACATAACTATGGTCTGAACACTGGTCCAATGGGGCAGGCAGAAGCTTGACAGGCAGTTATTTTGAGGGATTTTAACATGATTTGGAAGCACACTATTATGCTACCCTGAATGCCATATGCCACATTATCCAAGGTGGTCTTATCCTGGAATGGCATGTCCAGCTGATAACAAAAAGAACAGACAACACGACGTTTAGTTTCTGGAGACTGACTCATGCTATTCAGACATCTGAACTTTGAAGGAAACTCGTCCAAGAAACTTGTCACGGTCATCTTCATTTCTTAAATTGGGAGATCCCATAATCTTACACTCAATTGTTGCTTCTTTGGTACTGCTGGAGTTAAATGCTAGTTGAACCGCCACTAGTGGCTGTAGATAGTTAGCCTAGTAAATAGAGAGAGGGGGAAATGTTTTCAGATACCACAGTAAACTTTTTTTAATAAAACATTTAACATTACAGATTAGAAAACTGCAAAAAACCTGTTTTACAGAGTCCCATAAAAAGGCATACATTGCAAATGAAGGTGTGGTTTTAATACTTGTAGGAACTCCTGCTAGCTTTAATTGAGCTAGAATGCCTAACAGCAGTAAAGATATGGCTGTAGAGGCAGTGGCACAAAGCTAGCCAACCCATGCAAACTTGCCATAGATTCTTGTTCCTAGCTAGGTCTGTGCTGCTACATCTTCCCTGCTATTTTCAGCCATACTAGTTCAATTAAAATTAGAGCAGGTCTACATATCTATGCTACAATTACACATTAAATTTGAGATGCAGACATGCCTAGTTCATTTAATTATTTGTGTAGGAGCTAATGAGGCTTATATTCCACCCAGCATTCGTCTCAACTGACAAATTTAAAATAGTTTAAGTTATAAACAGGATTTTCAAGGGGCTCTAGAAAATATAAGTCCAACTTTCAAAGAAAGTTAATGGGATTTGGGTGCCTAACTCCACTTTTTTTTGAAAATCCAAGCCTGTATTAACCTTTTGCTTTTTATAAGCATATGGCAAAATCTACCATAAGTTATGCTCTTTTCTGTTCACTAAACTTGCATTGAACTTCAATTTTCTTATAGATACCTCTAGTCCAAAGAAGACTGTTATTTAATTGTTTTTCTTGCCTGTTTCCTGCTTTGTTTACATAAATGCATACATTCCATGACTTTTCTATGGTATACTTAAGTAGCATCCATGCCACAAGGCCAAGAATTTCTCAATTTCCTACATTTCTATTTGAGGGACTGAACTAGCTTCCTCAGATTTTTTGCAACCACCTTTTATAAAGTTCAGTATCAGTGAGATAGTTTCTGGTAGAATTTCTCCCTTGAGGATGTTGACCTTAATTATATGATGACCTCTATTATTCTGTGGAGCAACTATAGGTTTTGAACTGTTGTCAATGTCAATATAGAAAGGAGAGTTATATTAAAATTTGTTCAACTGAATTACCATTTCAAAGTCCAATTTAAGCAGGGCATAACTTTTAAAAGGACCCTTTGTATTCGTTAGAGATGGGATTTCAAGACCTAGTAAAATACAAGTTTAAAAATAGCTACTAAACCTATACTTTATAAGTATGCTGTAATTTATTTATGTACTTACAGATTTAGGGCATTATTTCCAAGCATGCCTAGTGATTCTGGGTGCCCCAATTTTTGGTGCTCAACTTGAGACTCTTGAGCACTTAATTCTGAAGCTACATTTAGGGAACAGTGCTGTGAAAGATGCAAAATTTCAGGGTAGCAGCTCTGAAGAGATCTGCTACAGAAACATCTAAAAACATGTGGGAGATTGTATTAGATTTAGTGAAATTAACTCTGAGATCTTTGGGAAATAATTCTTAGATCAAAACACTACACCATACAAAATGTTATTCACTTAATGGGTGAAACCCGACTCCTAGATTTTCCCCCATAAAATACAATCTAGTGAACTCCTGAATAGATTTTTGACTCAATAGATTTTTTTTCTTGTTAAAAACAAGTGTTTTTAGTAGAACATCTCCTTCCCTGTGTCTTTATATTTTAGTTATTTAGGATTATCTTTTCTATGGGATCAAAAGAAAACTGAAATTGCTAGAAGGGAAGTAGGGATTATCTAAAGGCAGTGGCCTCCAACCTTTTTATGCTTGAGATCACTTTTTGAATTTAAGTGCAATCCAAGGTCTACCTGAAACCCAAATACTCTAGTCCTGTCTTCTTTGTGCCCCTTCTCCCACACCCTGTCCCTGCTCACTCCATCCTCCCTCCCACAAAGGTGTGGCAGAGGGTGCAGGCTCTGGCCTTGGATTAAGGGATTTGAGTGTGAGAGGAGATCTGAGCTGCAGGCAGTTGGGGTGTTGCAGGGGATTCTAGGTGCAGGCTCTAGTAGGGCAACTGGACGCAGGAGTGCTCGGTGCGCCAGAGGGGGTTTATGACTGAGGTGGGGTTTCAAGATGTGGGATCTAGCTAGGCACGGTTTACTTCAGGTGGCTCCTGGGTGGTGGTACAGTGGGGCTAAGGCAGGCTCACTCCCTGCCCTGCCCCCTGCACCGCTCCCAAAAGCAGCCAGCAAACTCCATGCCAAGCCCTGTTGTGGCCCCCCTCTGCTCTGTGGAGATAGGATACCAAGTGGGAGAGGAGGCACCTTGACATCAGCACTCCTCCTCTCCCTCCCCAGGAAGCAGGAGGCTCCTGAGGGACAGCTCTAAGGCAAAGGGCAGGAGATGTGCAGCCGTGGGGGGAGGGCAGCTGAAATGCTGGCACTTGATAATAGCCTCTTGGCCAAACCAGTCAGGATCACCTGTCAGACTCCAAGATCTACCGGTAGATCCCGATCTACTGATTGGTGGCTACCGATCTAAGGGTTCTTAGCTATTTCAAATCAGGCCCTCACTGACAGGAGGCATAGATGTACCAAGCTTTTGTGACTCTGGTATTACAATCTGAGATTTATCTTGGACAGAAATCAGTTTCAAATCTAAGACTGCAGCTATACAAGCTAACAATTCCTAAAAATTAATGAAATCTTTAGAGAGGAGGCAACAATTAGCAATCATCCTAAATGCTCAGGAGAGTAGAAAGTATAATCCCTTCATGGGCTCCAGAGATAGGCTCCTCCTCAAACCTCTTCTCAGAAATACTCAAAACTTTCCAAAAGAGGGCAAATGAGATAATCCTCTGTGATTCTCTAAAAGCAAGCAGGAAGATCTCTGGTTTTCCTCAAAGGGTCTTTTGCTCAAGGCTGTCAAAGGCTGACTCATCACAGATTGGATAGTGTATGAAGCCATGAGGTCCCACTGCCACCTGCCACCCCCAAAGCAAAGAAGTGGCCATTACAGGCTCCAAAATAGTATATATAAGTACTTACATAGACATAGCTCTCATCATATTGTCACAACACCAGAGTTCATCTTCACATTTTTATACAGTAAATATTATATCCAGCTTTGTCAGAATGGAAAAAAAACTGGGTCATCCTTACATAGCCAAAGATTATCTGGATGAACTTAATCCCAGCCCCAAGAGACAAAAGGATGTCCCTGAAACTAAGACTCCGGTTTACAACAGAGTCCTTGCTTAAGAAAATACTAGAAGAGCATTCCTTACTCAGCTAGGCTGAATAGGCCAGGCATGATGCTGCAGTCTCTCAAACCCCAGTACAGGCAGTCCCCGGGTTACGTACAAGATAGGGACTGTAGGTTTGTTCTTAAGTTGAATCTGTAAGTAAGTCGGAACTGGCATCTGCCGCTGCTGAAACTGATCAGTTTCAACAGCCGCTGAATCTGGACACCAGTTCCACTTACATACAGATTCAAGGTAAGAACACCAGGCGTCCCCAAGTCAGCTGCTGCTGAAACTGATCAGCAGCTGATTCCAGGAAGCCCAGGGCAGAGCAACTCTGCCTCTGGCTTCCTGTAGTCAGCTGCTGGTCAGTTTCAGCAGCGGCGGGATCTGGGTGCCCGGTCCCGACTACATAC